TTATACGCCCACAAGAAGGGCTAAGAATTCTGTGTGTTCCACATGTGGCCACACTTGACATACTTCTGTCCCTTTCATTTCTCCCTTCTGGTGGGTCAGACTGGTAGCATATTGCAGATTTGATTCACATTTCTTTGATGGCCAATAAAGTTGAGTCCATTTTCCCTTTGTGGCCGTTTGGATATTTTATGAAGTTCCTACTCAAGATGGATTCCCCATCCCGCTCCACTTTTTCCCTGTTGAACTGCTTTTTCTTACTGATTTATAGTTCTCTGTCTATTCTGCTAGATGTAGGAATTGCCATGCTGCTTATATGCTGTGCCATATACTGTTACCCTTGTGTGCAGCGGGGCAGTAAGGACTAGTTTGGGCTAACATAAGATAGTAGCTGCCTGGCAGATTCCATAAAAATCATGTCAGCTGCATCAGATGGTGTGTCTGAGAAGAGGAAACGTGAATTGTACTTTGTTAAGTTTTAGTCCGGCAAGGTTATTGCTTTGTCGATTTGGCTGTTCATCTTGTGTGCGAGTGTCTGTGTCACACGTGTTTGCTTACCCTGTCTTCACTGTCTCCATTAGCCGTAGAATCTTCTCAAGAGCTGCAGCCTGTGCAATTGAATCTGCTCCCTTCACTGGGCCCTTTGTGGCCATGGTTGTGCGTATGATGCGCTTCTGCTGGTGAGGGAGGGGTAGGGTCTCTTTGATGGAACTTCCGGGAAAGCTGCGTCTCTAGCCTCTCCCTGCAGTTGTGATGCAGAGGTCTGGCTGCCTTCCCGTGAGGACATGCTGAAGATGGCAGAGCTAAAGAGAAGCCAGATTCTTTGGTGCAATGTGGAGTCAGTGTAGGGTTTCTGATGTTTATTGCGGACCCGACAGGAAAGAAATACAGATGCGTGGGTTTGTGTGCACATGATGACACAGTTACACAATCAGTGTGGTTATGGAAGTGAGACCCATCCCGTGACCCACGTCTGAGAGCAGTGTGTGAATTCCCATCTAGACCCAGAGGCTTTCAGACTAGGAGAGGTGATGATGGTGTAGGTTCCACTGGGAAGCAGGGGACCAATGTCCTAGCTCAGGCCGTGATCAGGCCTTTTGTTCTGTTCAGGCTTCCGGCTGATGGTACCCGCCTGCTTCACTCAGTTTGCCGTCCCAGTGTTGATCTCACTTTCACAGACTCACCCAGAATCATGTTCCGCCATGTACCTGAGCACCCCGTGTCCCCGTCAGGTTGGCCTCGTGTGATAGGAGAGAGGTCTGGGCAAGCTACAGTCACACTTTCATTGTATTTGCTTTACTTCAGTCCCTCAGCGACACACACACTTCTTGGCCTTCGAGCTGTGTGTGACTTGGCAAGTGTGTCATGTTGCTGTGAGGTTGTGTGTGTTGTATCAGAGTCTGCTGCAGGCGAAAGCACCACTGAGCTAAATCCCCAGCCCCTAAGAGGATCTCAAGTTTAAGGCCATCCTGTGCAAGCAGGACCCTGTCTCAAAAAAAGCTGTGGGAGGGGGTGGCTAGGATGTAGCTCAGTGGTACAGTGCCCCTGGGTTCAATTCCCAGTACATAAATTATAAATTCCTAGATTATGATGGAGCATCTATCATTTAGAAACAATCTCCAAGAGGCGACTAGAATCTTTTCATCTTGAAAATGCTTTAATAAGTGTTGACAACACTTTTTGCAAAATGTAAAGGTACTATACAAATTCTTAGTACAAAAAGAATAAATTAAAAGCAGATCTCTTTTTAATTCTGCAACTTTGTCTACAACATACATCTTTTTCATTGACGACAGAACAGAACCCAGGAAAATCATTTTACATGCTCTACGGTCAGTCTCAGGAGCAACCTACTCTTTTCCCTGTGATTAGAGTCCATTTCACACAACTTGTCATAAACTGTTGACATTAATGGGTATGTAAAACTTTACACCTAGTTACCTAAGCAGTAATTGCTCATCTGATAGCACCTGGGTGGGGTTTGCTATATTTAGAACTAAACTAATACTGCATGAAAACAGATGGATTGTAACAGTTCCAACACTCACCTGTGTGTAACAAATGAGAACAAAACAACCTGGCTCACAGCAGTCTCTGGTAAGCATCTTCACCTGTCTTGCTTGGGTGGCACAGGTGGCTTCTTACAGGTGCTGAAGAATCCAGTGGGGCTTTCCATCAGACCAGGGGCTTCATTCTCGTCTTTCTTTGTGTTACAGTAGCAGGGATACAGAGTTTGCAAGTGCCTGTGTACACAACTGCAGCGTGTCCCGCCGCACCGGGTGCTGATCCTGTCAGTCTCAGTGTACATCCTGTGAACCGGGCTCAGCCAAACAGTAAAACCTGTCTTCATCTCCATCTTTACTACCACTCTCGTGTTGTTTGCTGCTCCCACTCCATTCTGTTCTGCCCAAATCTAAAATGGAATCCAAGTGCTTGGGGGACTCCTGCTCTCCCCCTTGGAAGTGACCCGGGTTGACCGCTCGACCTGCTTGCTGCAGACTGGGTTTCTGCTTGCTATCCGCACGGTGTAACCCACAGCCCTGTGAGCTTGCTGCTGTCCATTTCCTTCTGGGCTTTCCCTGTCGCACACAGTTCGGTCTGATTACTCACGTGTCTCCTTTTGGGAGAAGGGAAAGGACCCAGTGTATGATGTTTCCAAGTGGGGAAGAGAAGCCCACCCCTCAGACCCACAAATCCTCCCTTCAAAGCTCTGTCCAAGAAAAGCACCCTCCCCCTAGGCCCGATTCACGCAGTGACGCCACAGCCGATTCCTGTTTATCCCGGTGTGCCCCGAAGTGTCCTGGGGTGGGTAGTCCCTCCTGCAGCCTGGATTCCTCAGCCCAGCTGTGCCCGGCGCTGGGGGACCCCGCAGGGATCTTGCAGAGAAGAGGCTCCGAGTGCTGCTGCCGGACTGAGGGCTCCCGCTCTTCGACTTCAGGGAGCATCAGGGTGAGTTTGTTTTGGTGACCACCTAACCCGCCTGGCCTGGCGGATGTTCATGGATGACACATACATGAAAGACAGGGATTTTCCTTCGGATGCTACAACTGACTAGTTCTGCTTTCTCACAAAACCGCCCTGCCCTGGCCCCTGGCCCTTGGCCCTGGCTGTCAGGTACCTTTCCAACAGGTCATCCTAACAGTGGGGAACCCTCACCCCAACCTGCACCCAGGAGCACCACACACCACCTCCACGAAGACCTCCCTGTGCCATCGCAAGCGACCGACTAAGGTTATGCACTTGTTATTATATTAGAAAAGTAGTTTGGAGGCCTTTGAAGATTGATGGCTTTCTGATTGTTCATTAAGCATAGCTCAAAACACATGTAAACGAGCAGCTCCCGCATGCTTGCTTCCTTCTCTTGTCCTCTGTTGGCGTCTGCAGGCCCAGGTGTTGCTCCACGGTGACCGACATGGCCTCTCGGGAGCTGGTTTTTGTCAACCCTGCTCTGCCTGCTGGCTGGTAGATGTACACTGGCTTCTTTGAATAAGCGGCAGGAGGGAAGTTGCATCTGAGCTCTTGGGTCACACGAGTGCTGACAGACATAAAATGAGCCACAACAGTTAAACACGTGAATGGACTGCGATGTGCTTTTCCCTTGGTTTCCCATAAAATAGAAGACGATGAAATGCCTTGTGCAAAAAATAGGTTATGCTTTTACTGGTTGTTCTAATGAGAGACCACTTTTGGCATTTGTCACCTATGGTACCACAGATCCCCAGCGATCTCGGTGGGGGCCGAGACCCACAGGTCCAGGCTCCTCCCCGCGGTCTTTTCTTTCACGTCCAGACAGATGGGACTCTGCGTGCAGGGCCTAGTTTTCAGGGCCCTTGTGGGGAAGGAGTGGGCTGTCAGGGAGGTGGATCGTGAGGTTGTGATTTACAGATGGCTGACTTTTGCTGTGGCGTGGGGTAGTTTAGAATGGCAAAGAAATTTCCTCACGCAAAGAAAGTCTTCCTCTTGGCCTCTGTTTTTATCTGTTTAATCTTTGGCAGCACAGAATGGGCCGTGATCCTCGATGCAGCTCTGAAGTGTTAAGCTCCCTCTCGCTCTCCTGCCCCCAGGCTGGCTCATCTAGAACATTCTGGGGACACTCAAAGCCCCAAGAGCCGTCCTCTCCTTGAAGTGCCTGGCTGGCCCCTGCAGGAATGTCATGCCAGCCAGTCACCCTGACAGTCCTGGCTGGGGGAAGCCACCAAGGTGCCATTGAGGATTGCTGTCTGGCCCTCTGGACGAGAGCGCCAAGGGACACACAGTGGGACCGGAACCTTCCAAATGTCTCCTCAGTCAGGTTTTTGAGTGTGAAGGGGATGCGGAGACGAAGAGAAAAAAAGTGCTGAGGGCCGAAGCTGGTGCAGGTGACAGTGCGTCTGGGTAAGGCAAATGAGAGGCAGTGAGGTGACTCGGAATGGCGTCGCGGTCAGAGCGGGCCGGGCGGGCTGGCTCACACGAGGGTCCCGGGCTTGGCCTTTTCCTGCCCGTACCACTGGACGTCCGCTGGTTCTGGATAGAGGGAGGAATCCAGGAAGCAGCTGTCACCGTAGCTCCTGTGGGGGCCGAGAAGGGAGACCGACAGTGAGAGGCCTGGTGCAGAGTCCTGTCCCCAACACTGCCACCACCCTGCCAGGGAGGGAGGCTGGCACCCTGCACAGCGACCACGAGGACACTCACAGGACGACGGGGCCACATGGGGGACCTGGCACCCATTTCTGGAAAGGAGGAGAACGCAAGCTAAGGCTTGGCTTCGTCCTGCAGTCATCAGGGAACCTCAAGGCTCCTGGCACCGGGCTCCACCCAGGCGCCCCCCGAGACCCTCAACATGCAGCCAGCCCAGCTGGCCCTGGGCTGTGCTCCGTCCCAGAAAAATGTCCCAAGTGTGAGGCTGGCTACAGTGCAGGTGAGGTGATATTCTGCATGGAATTCAATGTTTTTTATTCTAAATTAGTGTACTTTTCACTATAAAAAAGCATTTCTTTAAAATATACAGTGGGGGCTGGGTATATAGCTCAGTAGTGTTCAGCACGCACAAGGTCCTGGGTTGTATCTCTAGCACCAAAAGATAAGATATACAAGAAAGTTGCCGCCTGGAATCCTAGCACTTGGGAAGCTGAGGCAGGAGTGCTGAGTTTCAGACCAGCATGGGCTACATAGTGAGCTCAAGGCCAGTCTTACAGAGCAAGACCTTATCTCAGAAATCACACACACGCAAAAAGACAAAACAAAGCTAAGCAAAAATAAAATATACAGGAAAGTTTAAACAAGGAAATAAAAGGCTTCCAAAACCAGAAAAAGATTTCAAGTAGGCATTACTCCTTAGATTGGATAGAAGTAATTCTTAAAGATTAAGAAATGAACACACAGATATGCTGAAGCCAGTGATTATTCTTAGGGATCATTACTAGGGGACAGCTCCTCCAAGTCCTTCCCTGACGCTGATGGCCCCCGTGCCCAATGCTCAGGACACCATGGGGCTGGGTGACAGGAACAGACCCTAATCCAACCCAATTCAAAGGAAAAGTGTTACATACGTGTACCAAGTACGCACGAGGACAGTAAACGTTCCATACTGTGAACATACACTAATAAAACATTTAAAAATAACTAAAACCAGATTTAAAGAGTTTAAGAATATCTTAATTTCACGAACCAGTTTCCACTGACAATCTGTCATTCTCATTTTTTCTGTCTCATTTGCTGACTTTTCTAGGAATGCATGGACAAAGGCATTGGACAAGGTCTCTTATCTGGCCTAAAAATGTCTGTGAACACTAGAAAATCCCAAGGTGTCTGTGAGTTCCGGCAGATTTTAATGAAAGTCCTGAGCGTGGCTCATCGGAAACACTGGGTTCATTCTGTTAAATGGGGGCTGCGGTGTCTGTCTAGGTGGTAGGTAGGTGGTTCTGTCACACCCTCCTGAGAGCCTCTCCGCATCCATCCTGATGGGACTGACTTGCAGTGCGCCTGAGGGACCGAGACTTCTAACAGGAAAGAAGTTTGCCCTGCAGGGGCCATGCATTCCTCCCCAGAGTCAGTTTCCCTGTGGCCACTGCACAGGTCTGCAGTGAGCTGGCAGCCACAGCCACTGCCTTGAGAGCCAGGCAAGCTCTGAAGCTACAAGGATGTGGCTTCCCCCCCCACACACAAGGCTCTGGACAGGATCTGGACAGGAGGAGGATGCACAAGCCCTGGCCTAGCTTTGGCTGCCCACATGCGCTCTGATGTGCTTAAGCTTGCTCAACCCATCTCAGTCTGGTTGGCAGCTAACACAGGCACATTTAAATCTTTCTTAGAGACAGAACTTTGTCACTCATACAAATGTGATCTGGACCTCTCTGGTCAGGAGTGGACGGCAAAGCCTCACTCACAGTTGACAAGTTACCTATTCTGCATGGGGAAGTGGGGCTGGGTGTGAGCATAAGATTCTGTGGGGAGGAATTTTAACAAAATGACTTATATACCTTGTATAAATTTCTGGGGTTTTAGCTCAGCAGCGCTGTACCTGCCTCACAAGCACAAGGTCCTGAGTTCCATCCCTGGTACTAAAAACATGAAAGATGTTTTATAAATTGATTCTAAGTGTTTCATCAGTGGCTTATCCTCCTATCTGACTGAACATTGAGCAGCCCCTTCTCACCATGTCTTACTAAAGACGGTGGGACACTGAACAGGGCCTCTCGGTCCGTCCTGCCTGCCCTGGGCATGTGCAGCGCTCCTTTGAAAAGGAGTCAGTCTAGCTGACGGGGCTCATCCAGGGTCAGAGCAGTTCAGTTCTCAAGCCCCGGCCTCCCCGCCAGTGCCCTCAGCAGGGGATTCTGTCCCCAGGATGTGAGGGGGGTGTTTTTTTTTCAAATGTTGCTTTCACGAAATGTTACCCTCTCCATCTCTCTCGTCTTCACCAGAGGACGAGGTGCCCACCTTCCTCTCAGGCCAGGCCCTGCATTCCTTGCCCCTGACTGCTGACTGTACACTGTTGGCACCTTTCCTGATTTGTTCTGGATCTTGTCCTCCCCTCCTTTTCTGGCTGAAGTTCTGCTCTTTATCTACAGCAAAACAAGACTGCTGTCCTCGAAGCAGTGTTTCTGTACCTGTGTGCGCAGCCCCTCGTGTGGCCCTGCCCCTGCCCCTGTGGTCACCCTGCAAGCTGGGGGCATGGGGCACGGCCTCTGCGTGAGCCTTCTGAATCTCTGCAGCGCTCTGATAGGAACTCTCAGAGCCCTAACTATACACAGCTGTTTCTTCTCCTGAGATTTTCCGACTGCGGAGTTGCCTCTTCCATGGTCCCTGGAATAATAATCGTGGAATATGGGCGGGTTTTTTTTTTTTTGGACGGGGAGTCAAACTGAGGACCTCGCGCTTGCCAGGCAGGTGTGGTGCTGCTGAGCTACACCCCCAGCTCTGAACTTTTTATCTGCTTGTATGTGGCGTATTTTTCAGGTAGCCTTTAAAATGCTATTTAATTCCAGTGCCATGCGACCAGTAGCTTCAGCTTTAGGCGCCCGGGCTAGGAATCAGACCAGGTTACTGCTGTGCATCTGCAGTGGCAGCGACGTGCAGCCTTGGGGCACGGCTACCCACTGGCAAGGAAGGCACTGACCTACGCATGCTCTGCAGCGCGGGCTACGTGGGTGGCACAGCACAGAGCTGTCACCGGATGTGAGGTGCTTCTGCATCAGCGCGTTCTGACCATGGCTTTCTGCACCTTAGACTTCAGTGCTGCTGTTTTCGTGGACACAGATTGCTAAGCCCGCAAAAGCCCTCTATGAGTATCTGTCTGCACCAAGAGGCGGGGAAGGCCCTGTGCACACTTTGGGGGTCTTCCGTGGGAAGTAGCACTGGGAACATCCAACATCTGATGTAAGACCACGTGGAAAAACTGTTCCACACGGAGCCTGGCGTGAGACACAATGGCTTCCACACCCCCGAGATGTCCCGCGGGAACCGGAATGCGGGCCAAGGCCACCGGTGCATACGCGGGAGACGGCCCGCCCCTCACGATACCTCTATGCATCGGGACTTGGGTGAGCTGGAGACCCAGCCCCATCCAGGATGGGCGAGCTTTCTGTTGCTTCTCTGAACAGAGGGAAGGCAGAGAGGAAGAGAAGAGAGGTCGTGTTAGAGAGCGGAAGCCACAGACTTCATTAGTAGCCTATTAAACACTGGTGGAGCTCCCACCCGGCCCCCTGGCAGGCGGGCTTAGCACAGAGCCCTTCCTGTCTGCTAACCACAGCCCAGCGCCAGCTGGCAAAAGTTACTTCCAAGACCAAAATTCCTCTGTGTCTCAGATTTGTCGCTGTCGGTGTAAAGCAGGCAAGTCGAAAGGCCTGTGAGGGGCTATAAATCTCAGCCTGTGTTTGGATCGCCCAGCTGAGGTTCGTTAAGGTCCCACTGGGCCGAGACAGCTCAGCCACTGTAATTCCCGGATGAATCCTGGGGACACCACAGGACCCTCGGCCTTGCCAAGGCCGCCTAGTCCCAGCATCAAGCTGGGGCAGTGGGGGTGGGCGTGGTGGTAATGGCAGCCGCTTCGAACAGATAGGAAGAGAAGCAGGTGCGACAAGGGAACGGTAAAGTTGGGACCAGGGATGCCCTTCATTTAAAGGGAATGAGAGGCAGCGTGGGATGATCCCGGGGTGCCACATTAAGGCCATGTCGGGAGGGTGCCCCACTTTCCACTCGGCGCTGAGAATGTTCACCGAGCAAATTCCAAATGGGCCTCGTGCTGCTGGTGTATGGTGGGAAAGACACAGTCTCGGGTCAGACTCCACAGCTGGGGCTCGGGGCAAGGCTGTTTCTGATCCCTTTCTACGAAGTGGAAAGACCTGATGCTCTTGCTGGGGGCAGTGAGGGTTACATGAACTCATGGGTGTCAGAAGCAGCTCCCAGCCTCCTCTGGGTACACAGCAAGCACTCAGTAAATGTCAGCTCCCCTCTCCCTGTAACTGAGGCTGTGGAAAGGCCGGTGTAAAAGAAGTGCACAGAAACTCAAGGTGGAAATAGTGGGGGAGGAGCCTCAAAGGCCGCGGCGGCGGTGGGACTGGGATTGTGGTTCTCTTGATGCAGCTCACAGGCAGCTGTTGCTCTTGCTGGACAGCCCCGCCCCCTGCTCCAGCAGATCAGGACCGTGGGACCCCTTGCTCCTCTGACGGTTTGCTAGAACGTAGCATCCACTCAGAGGGGTAACTCATGACAGGTGAGGCACGTGCTGTGGCACAAAGCAGTTACCTGGTCCCCTGCACCTTCTGGTAGATGGAGCACCCTAGCTGGGTGCAGACTGTAAAAATCGAGGCTACGTCTAGAGCCGCAGAAGGAATGACTTCTGGTTTCATTCATTTTTCTGTGGTCAGCTTCTACTTAAGGATCTCAAGGTCCCAGTCCCCTTTGGTTGGACAAGTGCATGGACTGGACAGAAGCCTTTTTTCTGTTTTTGTTTTTGGTACTGGGGATAGATCAGGACCTTGCACTTGTGAAGCGGAACCACTGAGCTAAATCCCCAGCCCAGAAGGCTTTTTGCTTAAGCTGCATTCTGATTATCAAGACGGCGAGTGGGCAGGGAAACCTTCAGCTGGGAGGGAGCAGGAGGCCTCTGCTCACGTTCTCCCTGCTGCCAGTCTGGCCTCAACCCCAGCAACCGCTGCCTGGAATTCTGACCAAAAACAGAACCTCACCTCCACCTCCCCATGTCTCAGGGGGCACCGCCTACTTTACAACACAGCACGCTAAGTTCACCCCCAAAAGAAAAGTGAGGCAAAAGGAGTGGGCGAGAAGGTGCCAGCATTTACCCGGGGGTTCCTCTAGAAAGGAAGCAGGCTCCCCAGTGTGACCTTTCTGGTCGCCTGCAGATGGCCCTTCTGCCACTAAGACTGGGAAGCGGTGACTTCCCACCCCACCCAGAACTGGGAGAAGGGCCTGGTGGAAGGCGGGGGGTGGACTCACCCAGTCTGCCAGGCAAGGGTGTGGTGGGGGCTGCTTGAGGGGGTGGCTCCAATCTCACTCGATGGCGTTGAGCTTCTCTGGCTTTGAGGTAAGGCAGCTGCAGGTGGTATTGCAGGAGAGGCAGGGAGAAGACAGGTCAGACAGGTGAACGAGCCTCCGCCAACCCGGGGCAGGGGTCCCCACATCCAGAGGTTCGGGCTAGGACCCTGTGGCAGGGCCTCAGTCGTCCCAAGGTGCAGTCACAGTGGGGAGACAACTGCACCCCACTTCTCCACAGCACCGCGCACCTCTGTACAGTCCTCAGGTGCGCTGGGATCCTTCACCCGTTTTGCTGCAGGAAATGGCTGCAGAGAACCCTAAGCCACCGTGGGGCCTCAAGGGAGACAGGTGGGACTGGTGGGGGAGGGCGTGTGTCTGGCCAGCATAGAAGCACGACCCAGAGCGTTTTTGGGGTGAAGATTATGCTCCCCCTTATGGAGGAGCCCGCATTCTGCTGTTGCAAGCTCACTGGCGGCCACTTCCTTCTGTATACCTCAAACGGGCAGGGCTCCTATCTGCTGGGATGGGCAAGGCTGAAGCCTGGCTGGGAATTCAGTAGGAGATAAATGCTCCCTATGTACTTAGATGCACCTTTTGCTTTCTTGGCAGTGGCAATAGATCCTCACAGCTCAAATACAGTTTTTTTTTGTTTTAAACAAACTTTGGTAGTGGGGATGGAAGCCAGGCCTCACACATGCTGAGCAGCTGCAGCCTCGTCCCAGCACAGTCTCTTAAAACGATCGGCCTGAACCATGTTCCTGATCTACCCGATCTCGCTGAATAAAGCAAATCTACCAGATGGACACAATTTGGCTACAACCTAAGTACCCCTACCCTTTGTCACTGACACAAACTGTTGCAACTAATAGGATCAGGATGACCCCACCCCCACCCCTTTTGCAGTACTGGGGAGTCCCAGGGCCTCGTACCTGCTAGACCCGCACTCTCCCACTGACTACAACCCCAGCCCTTTTTATTACTGTAGCTTGATAGGGTCTAAGCTGCCCAGGCTGGACTTGAACTTGTGATTCTCCTGCCTCAGCCTCTGGAGTAGTGGGGATTTCAGATGTGGCCCACTTTTCTTGGCCTATTATGCCCTCTGAAGGTACACATAGTGTACTTACTCTCACATCCTCCTGGAAAGTGCACAACCATGTTTACTGGGCTAACGTTACAAACAGGAAAGGCACCTGAGGAAGGCCTCAGGACCCGGTTTTTATTGCCCTGGGCCGCTTCTGCCCAGGATGCCTGAGCAGGACCAGTGGGCAGGAAGGTGGAAGGCCTGGGCCTGCAGCCTGGACAGCCAGTCCGTCCTTCAGGACCCTAAGATCTGCCCCCATAACTTTCAAGGACTCCTCTATCCCATCTGTGCTTTTACTGGAGGAGCCTGTTTCCTGATGTGAGTGCCTCTCCTTTGTCGTCTCATTGTATTCCTGAAATGTTCATCACTTCTGACCAAAGCCTCCCCACTCTGCCTGCAGTACACAGACAGCAGCCTCGTTGCTGCCCAGGGGGGCGAGTGCCTGAGGGCATGACAGCAGCCCTCGCCACTGCGCAACCAGTGCTGCAACCAGTGCTGGTTACTGTCACCGCTGTTTCATAGAAAAACTGCTGAAACTTCAAAGGGAAAAAAGGGTTTCTTCCATTTTTAAACGGATTCGGTTACTGCTCAGTGCGACAGCCGGTGGTGGCACACGCCTGTAATCTGAGCACTTGAGAGGCTGAGGCAGGAGGATTGCTGCAAGTTGAAGGCTGCCCCGCAGGTTTTCCAGCCCTGCCCCCAGCCTGGCTATCCTGGGCTTGTAAGGCGGTACCGAACCCACTGAGACCCGCCTGTGGCTTGCCAAGAACTCTTGGGTGCCTGTCCTCTGCACCCCTGGAGGAAGCTCAGCGCGGAGTCGGAACGGGAGGGCCAGCAGCCCTGGGGTCCTCCGCACCACAGCAAGGCCCCAGAGCTCCACGCGAGCTCTAAGCACAGGCACGTCCCGGAGGCTGGCAGGACGCAGGCGGAGCCGGGTACCGCTCACCTGACGTGGCCTTGCACATGGGGGGCATCCGGGTGACCCTGCTGTGCGCCACGAAGGTGCTCTGGGAGGAGGCGCCGTCCGACAGGGCTGGGCGG